CAACGTTTAATAATACAAATACATTTCCGTCAATTGTCATAAAACAAGAGTCTCTCTGACCAACCTGTAAAACAACATTACCAATGGAAATACTTCGAAAATAAAAACCTTCAATAATCTCGCCATCACAATAATGTCTATGTGACAAACTAACTTCTTTATCCTTAGTTGGAAGATGCACTGACACTGATACTGTTTTTTCTAGATCACGACGCGCAGCTTGCTGTAAAGGTTTGTAACCTGATTTAAGCAAACTCTTGAGAGATTTTAAAAAATTCTCAAAAGGAAAGGCACTAAATTTATCCAATGATCCATGAGATAAACATTCCTGAGCTAAATGAGAAAGTGAATGCACATTATACACTACAAACATTTTACCATAAATTACAATAGAATGATTAATAAATGCTCGTAGCAAATTATTAGAATACTGACACATGATCTCTGACTGAACAAGCATGGGACTGGAAAGAATAGTAAGAGCGCCATGCAACATCAAAAAATGATGGTAAACATTTTCTTGGAGATTATCTTTAAAAACTACGATACCATCATAAAGACACAAACGACGTTCTTCAGTAGCTTTATACATTCTCCATTCTTTTAGTGATCTTGGTTTTCTTACAAAATCCCTTGGACAAGTGCCTGCTAAGGAAAGAAGAAGAAAAGATATATCCCATCTTATTTCTCTATGGAGTTTCCATGGACCATTCCATGTGTGCCACACCTCAAGCAATCGTTTAAACACTCCATGCCAAACTAAGTGAAAAGGATCTAACCTGAATTGAGAAACCATCCCTATATTAATCTGTTCAAGAGGTGATTGTCCACAATGATGAAGAGGTTGTTCCCTATTTTTAAATGATTCGTCTGTTCTTAAAGGTTTATCGAGTTCAAGATAAACTCGCCTTGAATGTACAGTCTCTCCTATAACAGTGCATTTTTCACATGATCCGTATCCTCCATGTCCTATACAGCATTTTACCAGTGAACGAGCAGGTGCATCAAGAATGAAATTCCTTATAACGAATGGATATGTAATCTCATTGAAAGTATAACCATTTTGAAATAAATCTTCAACTTCATTAACAAAATTATTCAAGAAGCTTCTTACATCTGTAGGATCTGTTCTTCCAAAATAAATACTTATAACAAATGGCTCATTTTCCGAATCAATAAGACGACCTAATATTGGCCAAAATTTAAGAAGTGAACTTTTCGAGATTGGAAGTCCATCCATATTAACGTCAATACAAATTTGATGATATGTCTCTAAATATTCTTCCAACAACATAGCATCAAGATTAAATCGTATGCCTTTGTACCATATTTCAGCTTGATCCGTTTCTATGATATTTAAATCAGAGGGGGTCTTTAATAATGACTTATAACTCTTCGGCAAAGTAGGATGCACTACATGCAGTCTCAACAATAAATCGTTAAGTTTTGTCATGGAGATAACTCCCCCCTCCAATGCCCATTCACGGATTGTTTCTGTAACATACACTTCTTTAGCTTCATTGTTAGGAAATTGAAAAACATCATCATCATTGTCACTTGTAGACCCAGACTGCTCATTTTCATCGTAATCAATTGCACTATTATCGCTGGTAGACCATTCACGTTCCTCACTATCAGCAACAAAGCTATCATTATTCATTTCATACTCAAAGTCATGAGATTCTCTTGCATGTTCAATTCTGTCTAAGTTTTCATTTAAGTTTTTATCTAATTCACTTGACTCCTCTCCGAATGATTTCTGAACTTGTGTCACTGTTCTTATTACTTCACTGCGTATAATTCTTTTCTGTCTCTCTTTTTCTATTTTTCTGTGCAGCCTGCGCTTATAATTTCGACTCTGCATCTGAAAAAGAATCAAGTACAAGAAAAATTATATATGAAATAGAAGTAGAACAGACCGAAGAAGATAATAGAATTAGAAATAGCCCGATATCTCAAAATTTGCGGAAGTTATAGCTACCACAAACATTTTTCAAAAAATTCAAAATTTTATAAAAAATAAACCCTTTTACCGATCTTTGCCAAACTCAATAATACCAACCTTCCTTTAATTATACTGTACATTAAAAAAAAATTGAGACCAATATTTTCAAATTTACGGAAGTTTAGAGCATTGACACCCATTTACAAAGTGTACATATACACACACACGCACACGCACAGACATTTTTTAAAACGTGTATTTTTCGACGTTTTAGAACATTCTAAACACAATGGGGCAACTAAAAAAAAATTTTTTCATGAAAACAAAGCTTCCTTTATGAGGAAGCAAAATGAAAAAAAATAGAATTTATGACACAAGAAGTGATCAAAATCATGTATACCATGTTAAATGCATAAATTAGAAGTAATATTAATCGGCAAACACTACAAGACAAATGCTAAACAGAACAAAAAACAAGGAACTCAGTGAAAACAATCTAGTCAAAATAATGTCAAAGTAACATCAAATTAATGAGAAGTATGATGTTAAAATGACTGGTTAAAATAATGACAAAATAATAGCAATATGACTGCATAACGTCCCATACTGTAATTTTGACTGTTATCTTGACGTCTGTTTGACGTCAAGATGATAGTCACCCTGTACAGAAATATAAATGCACAATTACAATTAAATTATATTGAATAAGAGCAAAATATAAAGACAAAATATATTACATACGGTACAACAGTTTTACAGATGAGTTAACATTATAAATATAAATTAAAAAAAAACAACATGGAGCTAAGAGCCATTATTTGGTTACTTAATACATTAATCAAAGAATTGTACACGTCATATTATGATAATGATTCTAATCCACGAGTTGCCAAAACAAAACCATAAAAATCAAATTCGAATGACAAAACATTTTACCTTTTATTCTGTCCTATAAGTGCTTGATAATGTTTCAGGAAATTCCGGATTCCAAAAACCTTTAAAAAGATTATATTTACTATATATATTATATAACATAAAAAAGTGATGATATTATACCTTCTGGTGTATTTGGTCGCTCATATTTGCGTCGATGTCGCGAGGACCTATTCTTCCGTTTTTGTTCTTCTTCTTTGGATAAAGACAAATTCTTGTAATACTAAAAATCAAATATTATGAATCATTTTTTTATAAAAAAATATTTATATTTACTTATTTATATTTATAGTTATATTTATATTTATTTATATTTATTTTCTTATTTATGTTTATCTATTTATTTATATCTCATATAAATATACATATAATATTGCATTAGTTCTCTGCATTCCCAGCAATCCCAGCCGTTTAATTTTGCTCTATCAGCTTTACATCGCATGTTAAGCTGTTCCGAAATGTCCTTTCCTTTTGACCATCTGTAAAAATAATGTTTTTATTGGATACATAAAAGCATCTTAACTTACCACAATTATTAAGTGAATACTTACACATTAAACTTTTTTTTAGGCGGCTTGTTTTCTCTGTCATCCAAATTGAAACTATCTATGTTATTTGTTCCAAAATTTATACGCTTTATAGGAATTTTCCTCTTAAGTTTTAAAAGTTCGAGTTTTGACTTAAAACGCAACTGAGACGGAACACTTCTTTGCGTAGGACTAACTTCTATCACCTCTTCATCGGAAATTTCACTAGTTGTAGCACTATTTTTAGAAACTGTTGCATTTGCAGTAGCATTTGCTACAGAAACATCTTGAGTAAAATTCTGTTCAATATTATGCAATATATTAGCTGCCTCATGTTTCTCTATACTTGTTTTCCGTCTCTTCCTAGTAGACAATACCGAAGGACTTTTAGGCTGATTATTTTCATCGGTATTTTTGTGCATTGTATCCAATATATCTAATGTATTTAATTCCAATAAGTGTTGTGATATCGATTTATCCTTTTCGTACGGGAATACATATATAATAATTAATCGATGAATTAAAATATGTTTGCACATAAATAATACCGAATTTTGTTTGTATTTTAAAGGATCAATTGTATATTTGAAAGTTTTGTAAAAATTACAAAAGTGAGCGTATTTTTTCACCAGGTATTAACCAATAAAGTTATAAATATTCTAATAAAAATTTACTCACTTTCGTAATTTTTACTAAGTTTTAAGTACACAAGTGACTTCTAGGTAGAACAGAAAAAGTGATGAGAAACGACGAAATTTTGATGTCATATTGCCATAATTTTAACTGTTTTCACTCGAAAATTTTTAGTAATAAGAAATCGTTCTTTATAATACATCTGCTCAATGGCCTAATATGTTGCATAAGATATTGTGGAGTTTTAAATTACAAAACTGATGTGGCAATTTTTGTGAGTTTTAAAACAAAGAAAAAAGTGTCTCAACCGTTGTACATACAAATTGGAAATATTATAAATTATAAAAAATGTTTTTTGAATATTAACAAGATACATTAAACCGTTATTTACTAAAATAAAAATAATAGTACATGTAAAATAAAAATAATAGTATACATACTTGGTAAAAAAATTTTTATATAAAAACAAATACAAATATATATAATCATATAATATTATATAAAATATTATATGAAATATGTCCATATATGTCCATACTATGTTTTTTTTCTCTTGTATAATCTCTGTTTATAAAATTATATATACAATTATTACATTATATATGATTATATATGAGCAAATTTTTCACATTTGTTCAGATTTTATTCTTTTGTAAAAAAACAATGCAGAAATTATCCTTTTAATTATTTTTTAATTCTTTCTTATTATTCTACCTGTATACATACGAACAGAGATTATATAAGAGAAAAAAACATAGTATGGATGTTAAAAATAATAGTATACAAACCTGATAAAAAAATTTTTATACAAAAACATAAATACAAATAAAAATATATAAATACAAATATATATATAATCATATAATATTATATAAAATATAATATTATACAACAAAGCTCTTTTAACATTGGCAATAAAAAAAACGTAATAAAAAAAGTACAAATGTGTACTTACTGGAAGGTCAGCCATACTATTCGTCCTTATTTTTAACTCCCTCTTATAAAAATTAATACTTGATCTCCTAAACGGGCTCGATACACGGTCACAATCAAATATGAAATCTGGAAAAGAGAAATGTATGTTAATGAGTGTGTGTGGTATGCTGTGTGTCCGCAGCGACGAACTCGAGCTTAATGAACTCGTAGGATTATGCGTGCGAATCAATCCTCCCTGCGGGTGCTAAAAGGGTCACTATTTTCAACATCTGTTAACCTTTAACCGACGGTTAACACTTTGAAATAGACAACAAAAATTCGCTATTTTGAAAGTTAACTGTCGGTTTAGAGGTTAACAGACGTTGGAATTATGACCCTAGGCTGATGGCAGAGAACGAGAGACATAGGCGCTTATATGCTGTGTAGTCGACAGACGTCTCGTTCTCTGCCATCACACACGCACGCACACGCACGCACACGCACACGCACACGCACACACACAACCTAAATGTATTTAGTTACATACCTTTTTTTTGTTGAGGTTAATTCCCTCGGTTGAGGAAAAATTAGTGCCTTCAGTTCCGCCCCGGATTCTGGCTAAATACCTCAGGCGTGGAGGTGCGATCATGCATCACCGTACCCTCGTCGGCGTTTCGACGGCCTCGTCGTGCGGCAACGCACGCTGCGATTGCAATCGGCCGGATCGGCGTGCGGCTTTTGTATCTCGGTATATACTCGCGGTACTCGGTACTGATGCGGTAACTCGCGTTACGAGGCTCGATACATTC